ATTCAGACCATCAAGAGACAGTTATGAACAGATAATTAAAAACCCTGACTTTCATCAAACTATAGACGACATCAAGAAATCGGATCATGCAGTAGTAAAAAAAATCACGATTTGAGATTAATTTTGGGAGAAAACAAACACTGAATTTGTGTTAGCACGTGATAATATTGCTAGTTCTCATTCTTCAGCCCAAGAATTAGAGAGGAACCTCCTGATGCTAGAACAGCGCACTAGCGAGGACTACAGCAGAGTTCTCGCAAAACTTGTCCCTCGTGGCTCTGCAAGTTATTCAAACTGTTCCGGCGCTAGTTAATTTTTCATGGAGACAAGCTAGAGTTCTCTGCAATAAAGTTTTCCAAATAGAGGAGATGCCATGAGTCGACCTTCGGTACCTCGCTCTATGTTAAGTAATTATCTAAATAAGTCTATTAGTCAGTAGTGAGTACGTTTCTTGACAAGGACACTTAACGTCCGGAATGGTTGTCACACAGTTGTGATGTGAACACCTTTGGTGTTGAAATGAATTCTAATTTTCTCCCTCTCTTGTCTGATTAAAACATATTCCATTCCGGGAAGCCTAAACTCAAATATGTTATTCTATTGTTTTTATGTTCATACTTATTAATGCTGTATTCTCATTTTACCCGACAGTTTTTTGGCCTCCGTTCGGGTTATTCCAAACAGAAAAAATATATATTTTGGACAAATAATTTAGAAACAAATCAAAAGCGACCCAACTTGGAAGTTTATTTTCATCGATGAACAACGTTCGTCAAAGAAAACAAATTTTAAAATTTAGGACACTGTTGAATCAATTTCAAGTTCAAAATCTGGGTCAAGTAACAATAAAGATCTATAGCCACATCGAGTAGGTTTGAGCCAAAAGAACAAAACCTGCAAGTAGCGGCCACCAAAATTGTATATCAAGTGTTTGAACTATTTTTGGCCAAGTAGTGACGCCAGAAAGTTAAGATAAGATGTTGATTCTAAAACATCTCACACGAGAATTCAGCGTTACAAGCTCGAGTCCTGCCAGTGCTTAAGTAACTTTGAAAAAAGTTTACAAGTTGAAAAAAAAGCTTGTTTTGTTTCAATTAAGATCTCAAATCCTTGACATGGGAGTATATTAGTTTGCAGCCCTCTTCTGGTGAGCGATGTAACCAAAATATGCACAATTAGCAGCCATCTTAATCGCGGCCTTAGTCGTGGGCTGATCTGACCAGTGGTTCTTCTAAAATATCTGGAGCATGCTTCATACACTCAATAAGCAAAAGTACCATAGTAGTAGTAGTAAAAGGACTGCAATTAGCCAAAAATGATTTACAAATACATATACAACATATTTCCTTAAATACTTCTATAAACATTAGAATATAAAGCCGGAAATGCAATAAATGCAACAGTTCGCAAACTCAATCAACAATTATAGCACTAAATGCTCGATAAAACAACAATGCCTCAAAAAACCAGCACTGGAAAAAAATCAACCAATAATCAACCAAAGAGCCCATTACCAATAGCATCATAGACAATTACTTTACCAACAGATTGCTTCATTTCAACTACCGCCTCGTTAAATCTTACAAATCAAATTCACACACAGTCTATTCTGAAAAAAAAACTGCCTAAAATCAAAAAAGAATGTGTCTCAAACGGAAAGTGAAAAATTAGAAGAATACTGTTGAAAAAGTCGTAGGCTGAATAACTTAGAAAAAGTATTACAAGTTTCTGTAAAAATCAATTAGCTTAAGCATTTAAACAAATGATAAAACGCAAACTCGATTCATTACTTCTTCATAAGCAAAGATAGAAACGCTTTAAAAATAAATTAGTTTAAAAAATTGAGGTCAAAAAACTCCTAAATGCAATCTAAATCTTTGCTTAGAAACTTGCAACCAAACAATCTGCAAATCATACAGAAGCTATTAGCTATTAAAATATCAGAAGATATTGCTATCAACTAAGATAAAAACGAAAAAAATGATAGTAAAAAAATGAACGCTAATTCAAATTTTAATTAATTTCCGCAAAAAAAAACAGGAGATAATCTGAAAGAAAAATTCTGACAACTTATAAAAAACCCAATTACATCAAATTTATCAAATATGATATTGATACCGAAGCTAAGAGAGCTGGATCACAATAAAAAAAGGCACGTGAACGAAATCAAAAAGCATAAAAAATCTTGTTTTTTAAAGCTTCCCCAAACAAAACAAAAATACTTAATCTCGGGCGACACGCAACATAAATCTTCGCACACAAAACAGTCACGTCGAAATTGCAGAAAGCCAACATTTTGGAAACTGATGATTCTCTTCCAACAGTTTTGACATATGAAAAGAATACGCTATGCCAGTATTTTGAATCAATTCAAAATGCAAATGCTTCATCCTAAAATACACCATTAAACACGGAGGCGAAGCGGAGCAGACAGGAAAGGAAAGGAGAAACACTAAGTCCGAAGAAAGTGGAAAATTTTTCGAAAAAACCACAATTCAAACATTGTAAAAAAGTTGTCTCGAATGATTTTCTTTTTGCGGAAAGTACGTCCAGAATACACATTCGACGGCGTTTAATGAATATTCAAAAACAAACATCAAGCGAAATTAAAATTTTTGCCATGAAAAATTTTGAACTATAAATTCAATTCTGAGATGTCTAACGTTTTGTGCCATCCGGGGCAAAGCATACAAAGTATGATTCTCTCCAAGGACCCAAAACTAAATTAGTAAGTCGATAAAATATCAGCCAAAATCATTTAGATCTAAAAAATTGAAAAAGGAAAACATACATAGTCAATGATAGTAGAATTACAAATTGCAGCCTTAAATGACACCATCAAAAGAAACTACAAAAAAACTGCATACAGCAAAAAAACTAAGTAAGCCGAAATATAAGCAGACAAATAAGAAGCCGGTGCCACCAAATGAAAACTGTTATCCGGAAACTGAATTGGAAACGGTTAATTTTGTAAGATATAACACTACGTTTGCTGGCTCGCGTGTTTCAAAACCACTTAAAAGTAATGAGTCAAATAACCAATCGTTCCTTAAAATTTTGCTTCTGACACATGCTTACTCAGTAGCACTTGATAATAAGTGCATGGCGTGATTGTAGCAACAGGCATTATTGAGAGGGTAGTTAAACATTGCGACATCCATCTTTGCTAAAACATGCAGAGATAATAAGTTGACGAAGACTGCGCATAATCAGATACGTTACAGAGGCATTTGATTAACAAATTTCAAAAAGTTTAGTTATCAGATTGCCCAGCGGAATAAATTATTTGCCTATTTTCTCTAAATGGTTTAAGTTTTTTACCAAAAATGCGCCAATCAAGAACAGTATTTAAAAATTTAAGAGATTCATCGTTAAGATCCTTAACGTGTTCAAAACTTGAAATAGTTCAAAATTTTTTATTATAATCTTCTTGCGTTTCCTTTTGCTTTTATACGTTTCGAACTGTCTTTTGGCTATGTTAATCAAATGTTTAAAGTGTATAAAAGCCGAAGGCAAGGCAAAAAAAAGAAAAACAAACGAAATTTTTGAACTATTTCAACTTATCAACACGTTGAAGCTCTTTATGATAAATCTCTTTAAATTTCAAACACTGTTAATCATTGTCGCTTTTGTCGAAAAATATATCATATAGAGAATATAGGCAAAAAATTTACTCGGCTTCGCAATCTGATAACTAAACTTCATTTTCGAGACTAGAAGACAAGATCACGTTTTTCGTGACCTTTACATTTTTGCTGTTCGACAGTGGAGTTTGCCTTCATTCAACAAAAAGAAAGAAAAAGACTAATCAAACCGCATAAAGGCACCTTTGAGCGTGAACCAATTTAAGACTTTTTCCTAGAAATCCATAAGACCTCATTGCATGAAACTCACTTTGTTTTTTTACACATAAAGAAGATAAGCCTGATCACAATTGTTGAACAATCACTTCGAGGCAGCTTGAATGCAAATTTATAATAATTAATAAAAATAATAAAAGTAGAAAATTTTGAAAAATAAATCACTATAGTGCTTTAATTTCTCAGCGTATAAGATTGTTTTTCTTTAAATCAAATATTACAGTGAAAGTCATTGAGTTTATCAAGACGGACAACTTTAAAAAACGACACGGAACAACAAACTGCTCTGAATTATTTTTCAGAGCAAATTATCCCACACTAGTTCTGACTATTTGAAAAATTGGGAAGAACTTTGTATTCGAGTTTGTTATAGTTTTTTCTATTTCTTTTTGTTTTCCACGCAAAATCTGGTACCACAAATAATTATGGGAAAAGGTCGAGTGATTTGTCATACTAAAGCCCTTTCAGTCGCAATTTGAACGATATTTAAAAAATTATTCCAGTGTCGAGAAAAACGAGTTTAAAATTTTTGATTTTTTTTGTTCAAAATTGAGCGAATATTGCGAGCGAGCAGGCTTACAATAGCTTATTTTAGCTCAATGTAGGCTATGAAATTTTAGTTTTATGTGAGTAAAACTAGTTTTTGGAGTTTTTTGGTGGCATTTGGAAAATAATCAGTAAAAAAATTCAAAAAAACTTATAAAAATAATTTTTGCCTATTTAACTATGACTGTCGAAAATTCCTAAGTTCCAGTTTTCTTTCAGATCATTTTATCACACCACGCAGAAAATGACGACCCAAGTTAGTAAAAAAAAGTTAGACCTAATTTTTTTTGTATTTTTAGACTGGTTGGAATATTCTGTGCTACTTGCACATAAACCAACTATCCTTGTTATTATAAAGCTTTGTTTTGCTTCAATTATCGATATCATATCGGTGAAACAGAACATAGCGAGTCCAGCGCCCGCTAAGGATAATCGAAAAGCATCCAAATTGGCGTGATATTTAAGGCCGTTATAGAAGCCGTTATTACAATGCAGACAGACAGATTCAAAGTCCATGCAGAAAAACAAAAAGTTCGACTCTTTCACTCACTACTAGAAAAAGCATGAATTAGATATAATTAGTTGATATTCTTTCACCAGTCTATCAATATTAACAGCTTATCATTTTTCCAAAACAATATTCTAGAGCAATGACGAAATTGAAACAAAAATGATTGCGGGAAATTAGAATTTTTTAAAACTAGAACTCAAACTTTAAAGAGCGCCAAGCTTGAATAGCATGGATTATTCGCCAGGTTGGAAAAATAACTTTTTTATGTTACAATTTCGCCTGATTTATAACTCATGTCAGTCAATTCTTAGCATCTCAGAGATGCTTTCCTCAGTGAACGCATCGTCATCAATTTTGCGGCTACAGTTCTAAGCGTCATCTTTATTCTCCTTCGTTTTGATAACAACTCTTCAATTGTTTTGGCAGTTGAAGTTGTTTTTATGGGTCTAACAACCTTTTATGTTTCTACTGATATAGTTCTCCGATCATGCACCTGACAGACCCCCCGCCCACTGTCTCAATTGTGGTCACGTCGATCGGCACGATTTCATCTACATGATTCAGCAGCTCTGTCTTCTGTTCACTCGTGAACTCATTGTATGCTGTCGCACTTGTCGCCAGAAACGTTCTGCCAGAGTCATCGCCGAACGCTAGTTCTAAATGGTGTGTAAAAAATTATTAGAATTTTTACTTACATCTTCATGATTACCTTGGGTAATTTAAAACACAGAAGCGAACCTTCGCATCGCAAACACTAGCGAGCACACGACAAAAAGCAGCTTTAAAGTACAATAAGAAAAAAAAGAAAAAGGCCTCGAATTAGCAAAAATTCGGCTACGTCTACGATCCGATCTGCGACCTACTGCAATCAAGTGATGTTGAGTCTCCCGCACTAACCACTCAGCCACGCACGCTTTACCGCCGACAAACACTAGTCACAAATACAGCAGCTACAAATGCTAATAAATTGCCAATGCCTTTCAGCAAAATAGGCACCAAATACAAAATAGACACAATTTTGCAAGTAATAATTTGGAATATAATAAACTCAAGGCATCCACACTAACTTTGCAGGTAACAAATCGCAAAGCAGAAAGCCACATTATGTATAAATTATGCATTTCATAAAATTGCGAGATATATTGCGTTAGAAAATATCTGAAATCGAGTTTTTATTACTATTAGGTTGTTTGAAACAAATAGATTTTTTCGATTCATTTGATGAATTAAAAATGCATCAACTGTGTTAATTTATTACTATTCGAATGTCAAAGCACATGCTCTTAAAAAGCTGTAATGGTGCCCGAAAAAGAAGGTTACTGATAATACTAATAAAGCTGACACTAGTGTAAATAGTTTCAGAGTTTCTGGATCAAATCTAAATCATTGGCCAGAAAATGAACATCATCTAATAAAAATAAGCAACCGAACATCAATAAAAAAGTAAGCCTGATTTTTCTATAGGCGTGATTGACACCACAGAGGCGAAGTTGCACTTCCCATACACAAGCAGAAATATGATCGATAACGCTACTGAGAAAAACTGATTGAGTAAAACTTTGAGTCTAAAAAGATTCTTAAGTGACGCACGCCAGTAATGACGCATTAGCAGTACCAGTCAATTTGTAAAAAACCCAAGCATCAATTTAAAGAGCAGTCTATGGAGCAATAATAACATGAAAAAATTAAATGTAACAAAACAGAAAGTATTTTTTTAAATTGAGCTTTTTTGTCAAAATCATCCCCCACACGCCATATAAAGTACAAATTGAGAAATTTTGCTCCTAGTAACAAATCAATTACGGCAAATAAGCTTCCTTCAATCAATTTAGAAAGATTTCTAAGACGGCTTAAATCTCCGCTTATACGTTGAAAGCGCAAAATATATCGCTCGTTAATTGTCCCAAATTGGCCAAAATGGCAATTTTTATACCCCAATTTAAAAATCGCGTCAAAAATGGCTAGTGAAAAAATCGAAATTAGTCTAAAGAAAAAAAAACACCCCGAGCACAAATATTCTGTTACTTTCGTTACTAAGCATTGGCTGTACTTAATTGCTGGTTGTTGATTAAAATGAACACTTTCAAAATGAACACATTTTATCGCAACAATATTTGCATCGCAACAATATTTGCAACTTAGGTTGGAAACCAAAGATAGTTCATACTATAACACAAGCATTGCTTGTGTAAAAAGCATCTTAGCAAGATAATACTGAACAATTTCTCGCAGTTCTACTGAAATGATAAAAATTACTTGAATCCTAGCGAAATGTTGGTGTGACAAAATTAAATTCTAACGGTCAGACGCGCATAAAGGGTCTAAACCCCCTTTTCGGGTCAGTTTTTTTCCAAACATTTTTCTGCGGCGCAGAAATTTAGGTCGAAACAGGGTCAATATTGCAATTTCGAAAAGCTCAAATAATCAATTTGGTCGACCTAAGCGAAATAGAATAAGGTCGTCAAAATTTTCAAAATTTTTTTTTGAAAATGCGAAACACTCCCCCCCATACCTTCCATAGAATAAATCCTAAATCGGCCCCTGCTAACAGTACAAAAAATAGCAAACAAACCCAGCACATTTCCGCAATACTTTCTCATCTGGTGCAGAGATATGGTGACAATAGTCTTTCCACACTTCTCCATAGTACTCCTAATATGATTCAGCTGCATCTGGTCCCTGATTGAGTCCTCACACAAGATACAGAAAGTGCGCCCGACTGACATCATCACATTCGTGTGGTAGATGGGGAAGTCTTCTTCGTCAAAGGAGCGGAAGGTCACCAGGTCGTAGTTGATCAGTTTGGCTAGCGCATGAGCCACCTAAACATGTACTACAGTGTTCTATAAAAACCATGAATCATGTAACAAAATTGGACTAGAATTTATAGGAGGAAGATACTGTTAACCTGGCCTTGTTTTCATTTTTGCATTAAGTTCTCAATATCAACATTGAAGTTTCGTATTGACTGGAAATCTATACTCACAACTCATGATCAAATTATAACATTTAATAAAAAATTTCTTTTCATAAAAAACAATACTAAATAATAATTTGAGCTGTGCGAAAAGCAAGAGATTATTTTGAAGAGACAAACCTCCACATGTGCACGACTGGATAGGTTCACGTAGAGTATCTTGTTGATTCTGTCGAAACAGCAGGCGCCAGTTCCTAAGCAGAAACACTGGCTTACTTCCAACTTCGCAAAAATCACGAGCAGTAGTTTCGATGAGCGTCAATTATCCGACATTTACCATGATTAATATCTATATGGTTAATCTTTTCAATTGCAAAAAAATATAGCCAAGTTCATTTATCATCGGAACTCACAAAAACAGTTGGTCGAATTTGTAAAAGTGCCATACCTTCAAGGAACTTTCCCTGTCGTTCGAAGTGTGACAAATCAATCAGTTCACTGTGTCTGAGGTGCAAGTGGTCCACAATCAGTCGAATTACATCCGGTCGTTTCTCTATCTGTCGAGTGGGTGACGTCATCGGGTAGAGGATGAAGCGACTGCTGCCTCCTTGCAGTTGTTCCTCGGCCGAGTGGGATGAGAACCAGTTGTTGGGAAACACTGCGTCTGGAGTTTCCGGCGCTCCACTTCCAGATAAAACTTTCACACCTGTAAAAAAACCAAAAAAAACTCGAAAAAAAATGAAACAAGGTTTCGATTTTTTTATGGCTATGACAAATTTCGTTTCAAAATTTGAAAATATAGAAGCTGGAGAACGCCTTTGCATAAACATGGCATGGCTTTACTTTGTTGAACATAATTCGATGTCGAACTACGTTTTCTAGCATAGACATCTAAAACGCACCTCTTTTATCTAATGACAATCTCGCAAACTCGGTTATTTTAAGGTAAATCAAAAGTTCATCAAACTAGATTGCTTGAATTTAAACCTATGCGGGAAGCAAATTGCTGTTATTATCAATATATTTATAGATTACGGATACTCTATTATATAACAATATAATTCATTTAACTTTTATTATATGATATATAAGATGAAAATCAGATTCGGGGACCCAACTATCATACTTGTACCCTGAATCAGAACCACAGACTACCTTTTGCGGATAGTGCATTGACGAATATGTCCGATTCCTGCATGACCTTGGCCTGCAGTTCCCTCAGATTGTACATGTGATCCACACTGCGGCTGAATTTGTTGTCCAGGGCAGTGTCCGGGTTGAATCCGAACCCCACTGGCTTGATGTGCAGAATCTGGCTAGACACTTGGGCCCACTGCACACTGCTGTCCTCTAAAATTACTCATTTTGAATAACTTTTTTGGTGCTGGGTAAATAAGACGACAGGACATTAAGACGATATGACAATGAGCAAAATAAGCGGTTCGAGCTTAAGAACGTTAAAACATTTAAAATGAAAAGTTGAATAGAATTGGAGAATTGTGCGTAGCGCCGTCGCAAATGTCCATCAAAAATGGTTGTCACGGTAACAACTGTCATCCTATTTGTCGGACACCAATTATTCTTTTGCTTGATTTCAATTGGTAGATCACGACAGAAAACGAAAATAACTTGATACGAGTACAAATGCTGGCTGGGCCTACGGATCAAAAAATAATCGCGCAATTTCTCACTCGAACTATAAGAGATGAAAACAATGGACACATTTTTGTTGACAGAAAGTAGTCGAAACTCTACCACAAATTCAAATGAATAAAACTCATTTTAATACACAACTATATCGCAACCCCAATGAACAAGATGTTGACACGTTGAATTCAATCCAAGGCAGCACATTTATGATTGAGATGATAGCACACAGGCTGAGGATGATAGAGTCCCAGTTTCGGATTAAGGTGAGGACGCCTTCCTCCTAGGGATTCGACCCACTTTGGTACTCTTTTAAGATATCTAATTTTGGCTGACTGACCCTGAATTTTTTGTTGAGGCCAATATAACTAAATTTGAGGGGTGAGCAAAAAAAAGGTCGACAAAATTTTCGAAACCTTTTTAAACATCGCCCCTCGAAAAAATCCTAGATCCGCCCCTGATGAGTCTTTATGATTATCAAATTATAGTCAAAATAAAATAACTAGCCACAAATTATGAACAGAATGAAAACAGGTCATTTTTTTACCTCAAAAGTCTAAGCAAACAGACCATTTTTTATAATATTTCAGAAATCGAATGACTTTGTCATGAGGCGACCTTCCCTCATGACAGACTTATCGAGGATCTATTAGATAAATAACAGCAAATTACTCGTTTAACAGGAAAAAATAAAGAATCAATTCTATATTTCTTATAACTACTTTCAAAGTTAATTGCCTATTTCTAAGAACTCTAGGTCTAATTCAAATTGATTTTGACTTTGAAACGCTCACTTTTACTTGAAGGCAATGCAACTTGAGAAGTAGATACCGACACAGATCGCACTGTGTTCACTAGACTGTCAGCTCCCAGGGAGACAGTTGCAGTCGACCCCCGTCTCAACAGACCTTTGACAATTGCTTTCATGATTGCACCAAGGGAAAGCTAACTTTTTTGTGACTTGTTTGGTGATGTTATTCAGGTATCAAAACATGCTTCGATTCAAAACCGGCGCGTGAAATGTGATACGCAGGAAGCCATATCTTGGTCTGAAACATTAAAAAATAAAGAGCAATGCAAAAGACCATTCGTTGTTAGTCACGCGACATAGTAGCTTCAACTTATAGTTTGCAAGCTACAAAATTAACAAATTTTTTTCACATTTGTGCCATTTTGTTTTCAACTACCAGGTTGAAATTTTGACATTTGACGGATAAAATTGTTTTTTAAGACTATAGCCGGATAAAAAACCATAAATAAAAAGTTGTTTCTAACGAGTCATTTGGCCAATTAATCAGAGGGCGTCAGAAGGGTGTTCTTAGTACCAAAAAGTCCCCGTAAACATCAGAAGCAGTTTGAAACGTTCGAATCTTTCAAGTATTCGTTGGAGTGCTAAGAATATAAGCTAGACCCCCATATACGTTCACTGTCACATAAAACAACTAAAATTTTGTTGAGCTCTCATACAGTAGTTGACTAAAACTTCTGCAATTTGTTTAGTAAAATGCCCAAATGTGAGTCAAATTTCATTTCGTAGCTGAAAATTTTTCAACTCCTTTTTAAGTAAGGAAAACCTATGAAGGCCTAGTTTAGATTCTTAGCTTTCAAAGGAATACTTTAGAGTCCAAAGTTTGAAAATTTAGAGTCCAAAGAGTTTTGGGACCATTAGCTTTCAATTCTATGACTTGTGACTGTATAAAAAGGCACGGAGTTCCTTGTAGCATTGATGCTTCTGATAAACCAAAACTTCTAATTAATCTAAGAAATCTATACAGGCAAAGCTGCACTTCGCAAACACAAGCAACGAACAACAGCAAAGAGCCCGTCAAGTAAAAAAAAAACAGTCATATTTAATGACAACATGGACCATAAGTTTTCTTTCTATACACTGAGGCCAAAATGAGATTCGCAACATTTATGATTCAAAAAATATACATCGAAGAATAAAAACGGACCATTTGAAAAAACTGACTATTCGGCAATTTCTTGTTTCCGAAACATGGTTTTCGTCATAATTTCTTAAATCTGACAAAAATCCAATCATTCTCCAAGATACTTTTAAACCATAAGAGCCCATTTGACAAATTCAACCCAGGCGAAAGAAATATATGTGAAAAAAAGTTTCTTAGATGGTTAGATAACGAAAAAAATGCTTAGATAACGAAATCACTGTTAAAAACTTCCTTGGTTACCCGGGTTGACCTCACATTGAAAGTTAAGGATAAAAAAGTAAAAAAAAAAACAGCGACCGCCATTGTTGGATTAGCGATGTTCATTGGCTCAATAGCGAACTTAATCGATAAATTATTGCTAATTTGGCTTACTTTCAGCGATGAAACAGTGATAAAAACCGATCAAAATGAGCAAAAAAGGCGCTCTAACAGATGTTTGTTCCCCCGTCCTTCAGCTTTGTAGACCTGTATGCTACCTCTGCGCTATCTATCCTTATCTAAACGAAAGGTTAAAGGCTTACCAACTAAAACTCTCATTTGAAAGCTACTAGAATGAGTTAAAAGTAATTAAGTTTTAGCGGTGATTTTCTACGGAATCATTACTGAAATAGCTCTGAAATATCGCAGGTTTAGCTATGCAAAAAAAACTCTGAATTATACGTGAATTAGCGCTGGAAAATAGCGATCACTGGAATACTACAGAAAAAGCGATAATTAACGGTGGGACATCAACCCGGGTAAAATTGATGCAATTGTTGTTTTTGAAATCAAGCACTTATCTACATCTACACTGCACTTGTTTAAATTAAATACATTCATCAAATCAAAATTGAACAAAACCCTCAAAACAAAACATTGTCATCAAAACTTTACTTGGATGCAATAAGAAGTTTTTAGTTACCTTTTTGAAACTATTTTTTTCCCAGCTTTCACCCTATGATTTTGTAAAATTAAAAATCTCCTAAGCCTTAGTCCCCAAAACTCATTAATTTTAACTCATTCTAGTAGCTTTCAAATGAGAGTTTTAGTTGGTGGGTTACCAACTAAAACTCTCATTTGAAAGCTACTAGAATGAGTTAAAATTAATTAAGTTTTAGCGGTGATTTTCTACGGAATCATTAGTGAAATAGCTCTGAAATATCGCAGGTTTAGCTATGCAAAAAAAAACTCTGAATTATACGTGAATTAGCGCTGGAAAATAGCGATCACTGGAATACTACAGAAAAAGCGATAATTAACGGTGGGACATCAACCCGGGTAAAATTGATGCAATTGTTGTTTTTGAAATCAAGCACTTATCTACATCTACACTGAACTTGTTTAAATTAAATACATTCATTAAATCAAAATTGAACAAAACCCTAAAACAAAACATTGTCATCAAAACTTTACTTGGATGCAATAAGAAGTTTTTAGTTACCTTTTTCAAACTAATTTTTTACCAGATTTCACCCTATGATTTTGTAAAATTAAAAATCTCCTAAGCCTTAGTCCCCAAAACTCATTAATTTTAACTCATTCTAGTAGCTTTCAAATGAGAGTTTTAGTTGGTGGGTTACCAACTAAAACTCTCATTTGAAAGCTACTAGAATGAGTTAAAATTAATTAAGTTTTAGCGGTGATTTTCTACGGAATCATTACTGAAATAGCTCTGAAATATCGCAGGTTCAGCTATGCAAAAAAAAACTCTGAATTATACATGAATTAGCGCTGGAAAATAGCGATCACTGGAATACTACAGAAAAAGCGATAATTAATGGTGGGACATCAACCCGGGTAAAATTGATGCAATTGTTGTTTTTGAAATCAAGCACTTATCTACATCTACACTGCACTTGTTTAAATTAAATACATTCATTAAATCAAAATTGAACAAAACCCTCAAAACAAAACATTGTCATCAAAACTTTACTTGGATGCAATAAGAAGTTTTTAGTTACCTTTTTCAAACTAATTTTTTCCCAGATTTCACCCTATGATTTTGTAAAATTAAAAATCTCCTAAGCCTTAGTCCCCAAAACTCATTAATTTTAACTCATTCTAGTAGCTTTCAAATGAGAGTTTTAGTTGGTGGGTTACCAACTAAAACTCTCATTTGAAAGCTACTAGAATGAGTTAAAATTAATCAAGTTTTAGCGGTGATTTTCTACGGAATCATTACTGAAATAGCTCTGAAATATCGCAGGTTTAGCTATGCAAAAAAAAAACTCTGAATTATACGTGAATTAGCGCTGGAAAATAGCGATCACTGGAATACTACAGAAAAAGCGATAATTAACGGTGGGACATCAACCCGGGTAAAATTGATGCAATTGTTGTTTTTGAAATCAAGCACTTATCTACATCTACACTGCACTTGTTTAAATTAAATACATTCATCAAATCAAAATTGAACAAAACCCTCAAAACAAAACATTGTCATCAAAACTTTACTTGGATGCAATAAGAAGTTTTTAGTTACCTTTTTGAAACTATTTTTTTCCCAGCTTTCACACTATGATTTTGTAAAATTAAAAATCTCCTAAGCCTTAGTCCCCAAAACTCATTAATTTTAACTCATTCTAGTAGCTTTCAAATGAGAGTTTTAGTTGGTGGGTTACCAACTAAAACTCTCATTTGAAAGCTACTAGAATGAGTTAAAATTAATTAAGTTTTAGCGGTGATTTTCTACGGAATCATTAGTGAAATAGCTCTGAAATATCGCAGGTTTAGCTATGCAAAAAAAAACTCTGAATTATACGTGAATTAGCGCTGGAAAATAGCGATCACTGGAATACTACAGAAAAAGCGATAATTAACGGTGGGACATCAACCCGGGTAAAATTGATGCAATTGTTGTTTTTGAAATCAAGCACTTATCTACATCTACACTGAACTTGTTTAAATTAAATACATTCATTAAATCAAAATTGAACAAAACCCTAAAACAAAACATTGTCATCAAAACTTTACTTGGATGCAATAAGAAGTTTTTAGTTACCTTTTTCAAACTAATTTTTTACCAGATTTCACCCTATGATTTTGTAAAATTAAAAATCTCCTAAGCCTTAGTCCCCAAAACTCATTAATTTTAACTCATTCTAGTAGCTTTCAAATGAGAGTTTTAGTTGGTGGGTTACCAACTAAAACTCTCATTTGAAAGCTACTAGAATGAGTTAAAATTAATTAAGTTTTAGCGGTGATTTTCTACGGAATCATTACTGAAATAGCTCTGAAATATCGCAGGTTTAGCTATGCAAAAAAAAAACTCTGAATTATACATGAATTAGCGCTGGAAAATAGCGATCACTGGAATACTACAGAAAAAGCGATAATTAATGGTGGGACATCAACCCGGGTAAAATTGATGCAATTGTTGTTTTTGAAATCAAGCACTTATCTACATCTACACTGCACTTGTTTAAATTAAATACATTCATTAAATCAAAATTGAACAAAACCCTCAAAACAAAACATTGTCATCAAAACTTTACTTGGATGCAATAAGAAGTTTTTAGTTACCTTTTTCAAACTAATTTTTTCCCAGATTTCACCCTATGATTTTGTAAAATTAAAAATCTCCTAAGCCTTAGTCCCCAAAACTCATTAATTTTAACTCATTCTAGTAGCTTTCAAATGAGAGTTTTAGTTGGTGGGTTACCAACTAAAACTCTCATTTGAAAGCTACTAGAATGAGTTAAAATTAATCAAGTTTTAGCGGTGATTTTCTACGGAATCATTACTGAAATAGCTCTGAAATATCGCAGGTTTAGCTATGCAAAAAAAACTCTGAATTATACGTGAATTAGCGCTGGAAAATAGCGATCACTGGAATACTACAGAAAAAGCGATAATTAACGGTGGGACATCAACCCGGGTAAAATTGATGCAATTGTTGTTTTTGAAATCAAGCACTTATCTACATCTACACTGCACTTGTTTAAATTATATAAATTCATTAAATCAAAATTGAACAAAACCCTCAAAACAAAACATTGTCATCAAAACTTTACTTGGATGCAATAAGAAGTTTTTAGTTACCTTTTTCAAACTAATTTTTTCCCAGATTTCACCCTATGATTTTGTAAAATTAAAAATCTCCTAAGCCTTAGTCCCCAAAAGGTTCTTTTTGGACACAGAGACAAAGTTGCACAAGCAGGAAAACAGAACTAAAAAATGGAAGAAAATACGTTTGCAAAAATCAACTGAAAATTACAACAGCTTCAAATACTACGGGAACTGATCCTCATTCACCTCGGCCAAAACTCAATTGCCTTAATCATCAATTTACAGATTATGAGGTAACACTTTCACAAATACTGCAGAATTTAGAAGAGCCTTTAGAATAAATAGCCCAAGCAACAAAAATAACAAGAAACACGAACAGCGACTGGAGGTTGAAATTTGAGCTAGAGTCAAAATTGTCGCACTTGAGGTTCGCCCGGTCTAAAATACAGACCACTATTTCTACCGCATCTCAAACGCGCTGTTATGTACAAAACATCAGAGTTGGAACCGGGTCCAGGCTTTTTACGGGCCGGGCTCGGGCATTAAATTCAGGCCCGGTTCCAACTCTGATCCTGACGTAAGCCGACCTAATCTATAGGTCTCCCCAGGAGATTGACCCTAGAAGATACTCCTTGTTTTTACGACCAACCAACAGTCGCAAAACAAATTCGTTATGTTCAGAAACCGTTTTTTTGCAAAATGTACATAACACAGTGGCTAAGCGGATCTTCGCAATACATTACAAACACAGCTAACAGATAGTAAGATGTGACATCACTGCATGATGTCATGCATTCTAAAATAGCCGTTTTAATTAACTTAATATATTACAAATTCACCTTGATATTAAATTGGAGCTATATCATATATTTATTTAACTATGCAAACATTGATGGTAATTAATACCAATCATTGGAGATTTATACCGAGCTACTAACTACTTGAGTAGAAATCAACTGAATTAAATATACCAATCATGTTCTAACTTACGCCGATCGACTAGCGATATTCAAGAAGTAAAAAACCGAATCCTACGTCCTTAAAAGCAAGATAAGTCTTAACCGCTTGAGACATAAATGAATTATGAAACAAACAAAAACCATAGATAGCCAGTAGCGCTAATTAAAACTTCTACAGCTCACATTATTAATGAACGACAAGAAGCCATTTTCAGCCATCCACAAGCTATGCTATATTACATAGGATAAATTTAAATGAGTACAGTTAGACAGAAAAACAGACGAGTTTCACAGAAGAAAAATGTTCAGCTTAAATCACATTGAATTTATAGCATCTGTTACCATCGATGCATTTTTGCTCACGTAACCCCAATTGGATAAAACTGGATCAATAGATGAATCTTTAATTCAGCAAGAAACTCAAATAATAATTTTGGAACTATAATGTAACTCATGTTTTTAGCGCAATTTGAACTTTCGTTACTTGGAAGCGTATTTTTTTTTTCATTTGAAATTCAAGTTAACTTGAAAAGAAATGAAAAGACAAACCGCTAAAATCTAAAAATTTAGTTTTGAACAAATTTTCAAGATTTCTCACCAGAAAAATTGGAAAACAAACACACAACAAAAAAGACAACATTCATTACTTCTCTCTTTAACAAATTAATATAGTAGGGCAAGCTGTCTATCAAAAAAGAAACGAAGACCTGTAGCCAGAAAACATATTGAATATTTCAATAGACATATTGAAAATTTTTGAAAATTGTCGAAAATAGACATATTGAAAATTTTCGAACGAGTTTGAACAAAATAATTTTGGAAAAGATTGAACAAAAAAAAATTTTGTTCCGAAAGAAATTAATTTTGTGGATATCATGTCGAGAACTTCTGAGGCGTTAAAGCAACATTGAAACAAAAATAAAAAAGCAGAAACAAAGACGACAAAACTGTGATCGGCACCCGCTAAGCCGAAAAAAAATGACGACATCATCAAAAACGTCACCATGGGCTTGAAGCACTGATAACCAAGAGCAAAATTGACACAATTTGAGAAAACTGGAACATTGTGTTATTTTTGATAATCCGCTGGAAATTCATAAGTCAATTTTTGAAACTAATGTTATTCATGTTTTTCATGACCTTTACAATTTTGCCGTTCGATAAAGGAGACTTCAAAGCATGAAAAACAAATTTAATAATTTTTCCTGGAAAGATATCACGACCTATTGAAGTGTCTTCACTAAGTTCAATTACATTTGAAAACGCTTTGGACATGGAGTCGAACCGAAACTTCTCAACGATTGTGATACAACACGAAATCAGCATTGCAAGTGGACAGAAAAATTATTAAATCGAAGAAATTAATTAATTACAAAACATAATAGTTATTTAAAACAAAAATGAATCAAAAACACTTGCAATAAAAACTGCTTGCAGCGCCAAAAAAATCCGTCAGCGTGGTAACTGAGACGAGGAAACCCAGCAGACAGACAGACAAAACGTCGACAATTTTTTTTAAACGGGATATTTTCTGTTAGAAAAACTACAGATCCTGGTCGGATTCCAACCTAGGACATTTGCCGTACTAGGCTTTATCGTTACCTTAAGGCTAAAAAAGACTCAAAAGCAAAGGCATGAATTTTTGGAAATCAAGCTATCAATGGACTCAAATTGATTTTGTTAAACAGGTTTTGAACCTGAAAAAAAGTGTTTATTCTGAATTCATAAGGCTTGCTAGTCGCTTGCTTTAAATTAAAATTGCTTCAATCAGAAAAGAAGTGGGGCTTTGAAAAAAATGGATGCCAAGCTTTGGAAAGTAAGCTGACAAGGACAAAAAATATGCAGACAAATGACAGTCCGACAATTCAAATGTTCCAAAAAAATCAATTTTCACACAAAAAACAAGGTCCGGTCGCTGTTAGAACCCTTAAGCTTACACTCCAAAAACTACACAATTTGACTTAAAAAAAGGCGTGGAAGACATTCAGGTTTCATAAAAGCAAGGTCAATTTTTTCAGATTTGTTAACAAAAGTTGTTTTTAAAAAAATATTCTAGTTCTCGATTACTTGTAGTTAAAATATCACGGGTATTTAAAACATAAACACGCCCAAAATGCAAAAATATTGTCTAGAATATAACAAAAAAATTTGATCTGAAAATAAGTATGTCAAACATAAATGATTTATCTGTAACTTCTGATTAAGTGCAATGGCAACTAAAAAAATATCATTTATAGAAAAATTCAGTTTTACTTTTACGACGCCAAACTGCAATTTTTAAGGTTCGTCGCGTAATCCGCATTAAGGCTCGAAAATTGTTGTCGCGGAATCCCCAATAAGGCATTTTTTCTTTGATTTTTTCTGGTGGGATCCATAAACAAATGATTGAAATATAGTGCATCTCCGAATGCCAAGCTCATGTCTGTGCTCTTTTTGCTCATTTCTTTGATATTTTCGATCGCTGCGGACTTCGTGTGTCATTTGGTAGGTAAAATTGGCAGTTGAATTAAGACATACTTTAAGGCTCGTTTTTGAATTCGAAAGTCACGCAATCGACAGAAATTTTGATACAATTGAAGTCACGCAATTGACAAAAATTTTGATACAATTGAAGCAGGAGACGATATAGCTGAGAAACACTATAACTAAAAGGCCAGAATAGAAAGGGTTTAAACGGGCAGAATTCAAAAGTTAAACAAAATTGTTAACAGGACAAAATGGCAAGTTCCTGATTAAAACACTAAATCGCTATCAAGTAACTTTAAATTGTAACAAGGATGCCCGTTTGTTGTGCAAGTAGCACAGAATGTTTCTGTCACATTCATTAAAAAAACAAGAAAAAAAGTTTTTTTTTTCGTTTTTTTTTCTTCAAATTAGTCTTTTTTTTGTGCGTGGTGTGATAATAAACTAGATGAATGCGTAAAAATTTAGTGCGTTAGGGATGAGTTAGGCTTAATTGATAATATTCGTTTTCAAAAAATGAACAATTAACAGAAAATGAAAAAAAATCAACAAAAATCATTGCACACATAAATTGTATTTTTTAAGAAAATTTTTTTTCCCAACGGAAGCGATAAATTGAGCTTTAAAGCTAGTTTAAATTTTTGGTAAAATCAGTTTTTTTTGCCTAAATGAGCAGCTTTAGCAAACAAAGTTTACTCGATCGCTTCACTCGCTCGAAATTCGAGTAACGCTCAAAAGTTTCAACCGTTTCTCTCGACTGCGACAATTGTTTGGAAGTCTTCATTTTGAAATTTTTTGAAAGTGTCGCTCTAATATCTCGGCTAGAACGTTTTTAAATTGATGTATCACTCTACTCATTCCGATGAACATTTGTGGTACCTGATTTTGGTTGAAAACAAAAAACCGCAAAACGACAGTTGGGAAAGAGTCAATGATCGGTGAACACAAAACCGACTCTGTTTGAAAAAATTTGAACTTTCAAATTTCAAAGAAAACATAGATGCCTTTCAAGTTCTTTTCGCTTCTAGAACAAATCATGATTGACAATTTTAAAATTATATTAACCCAATTTTAGAAAATTTTATCAATTAACTTTTATATTCCGCTGGGAAGTCTGAAAATAAAAATCCACTTACGAAACTAGAAGAAATTCATGCTTTTCGTGACTTTTGCACTTTAGATGTTCAATCGTGGAGTTCAGAAAATCAACTGAACTTAGAAAAAAATTATAAAACGAACCGCAAAACAATGAGCCTGAGCAAATTAAGAATTTTCCTGAAACTAAAACAAAAAAATCATCGTTCAGCAACTGTTAAAGAAAAACAAAGTTCCTCCCCATTTTCAATGGTCGGAACAACAATATCTAAACAAGTACATGTCTGCGCCGAAAGGAGACACTTGAACTATTTAAAGATTCAGTTTCTGAAAGGCTTGCTGAACTATACATCACGCGTGGTACCGATTTGAAGTACATCTAATCATCCATTTTGAAATGAGACCCAACATAACGGTAAAGAAATTTCTTATCATAATCACAATAAATTCAGAATAATTCAAAATTTACAAAGAAAGCAATGATCTAAAATCAAGTCAAATTGGAAACGGCAAAATCGTTCGTTCAACAAATCGAGATTTCACGTTACATCGAGTTTTTCTAGAATTATATTAAACAAACTGAAATATATACTTATTTGAGGATAAATTGCACATATTGGCTTCAATTGATCCAAATTTAAATATTCTATCAAGTCATGTGAATTTTTGTCAGCTCAACAAAATTTTTCAGACGAATTTCAAGTCAACAAACTGCTTCAACAATTCAGTTTTAGTTTTGATGCGAAATATTTGTTTATCACTCATTCAGTTTTTTCTTCCTTGGATTTTCTCTTAAACAATGATAGCACTTTTTCTTTCAAGGCTGTTATTTTAAGCGACAATTTTCCTTTTCCAGTTTTCTTCGATACAAAAGTGTATCTTTTAGTGGCTAAAGTCTGAGCAGCACTATATCCTATGGTCATAATAGTACTACTCAAACAGAGCACATTGTAAGGCATACTAAAGTCTGGAACCATCAATTGTATAATAAGCGGCTCCGAGTATATTTTGTACGTCTGGTTATGTATGTCCAAATAGACCATAGAAGGGCCACAGAAATGGCCATGATGTGGGTCCGGCGGATGTTCAGTCCATTTAAGGAGAACTTTTCTGATTTTCACAGCAATTTCAACAGTTTCGCCAGGGGCCATTTTAAACTCTAGTTGTAATGTTGAAGGTCTCTCACGATCTGTAACAGCAAAAATTCTCCGAACTTATGCTTTTAAAAAATATATATGAACCTCATTTCAAAAACGTCTTCCAATCAAAAACAAGTTTCTTTAGCACGTGAACGAACCGGTTCAGCTTCCGAACAGCAATTTCTAAACACTTCATGTTTAAGGGGCGAGGAGGTTGTCGGATTCCTGAGGATGGTTAAAAGGTTAACCCCCCCCCCCCCTCCCACCACCACCTAAATTCCCTACCGAGTGAATGTACGAAGCAAAATGACTTGATATAAGAGTTCAAAAGTTGAAACCAATCCCAATCATGAACAAACTATACAGAAAACTATTCTTTTGGATCTTTTCCACTTTCCCTGTCACATTGAAAACATTTATTTTTTCATGAATGCTTTACGTGTTATCATGGCTAAACGCGTGATAAGGAATGGAAAACAAATCTTTTCACAATAATTTTGTTCCAAGGCAAACTTTCATTGCGTGCGTCATGAAAACGTTAAAATAATTTTGTATTATTCAAATTCAAATATTTGAAAATTGCCAAAAAATTTAATTTCCGCAGCGTAAATATAACCTTGTGATGGAACATAATGGAGGAAAGAAGGTTCGATTCTGCTGTTCTCAGAGTTGGTCACTTCCAGAGTGTGAACCAGTAGTCTGAAGTGCCAGGGCACCAGGTCCAGATAGCCCACTGTCACTTCCTCTTGCAGTTCATTTGACACTTGGCAAACTATTCTCTCCTCGCCATCTAAATGAGATCTTTCGACACACGAGCACTTTTTTAGTTTAAAATCCGACTTAGCGATTTTTGAAAAAAAAAACAAGTGGTGTCGATATGTTTTTTTAAACTATTAAGGCGTATGTTAATTAGTCTAAGGAAAATATTTGAACACAGAAGCGAAGCTGTATTTCTCAAAAACAAGCAAAGAAGGGCTCCAAAAAACTTCACTTTAGAAGAAAAAAAACTTTGAGAAAAACCTAAGTAAACTAAACAAAACAGGCTTTTATGCAATCGCGCCTGGTTTTTTAGCAGCTGGAATTTCGGAACCCAAGCAAGTATAAAATATAAAAACTTAACCCACCTATTCCCGATGAAAGGTACTTGTGGACTAAGATAGGCGCTTTTGTAATCTTTTCGTCATTGCTCTGAGAAATTTCGCCTTCGTGGCACTTTCTGTCAAAATTCACATCACTATATCTGTCTTCTTGAGTCAGCGCAAGTGTTTCAGATTTCACTAAATCTCCTTTAGTTGAAATCACGATAGAACAATCTTTTTTATAGCTTTGAGCTGATATTGAAGTTCTATCAGCTAATGGACATACTTTGCCCATCGGCTTGTGGAACAAAGTAAGCAAGGAAAGGGTTCTTGAATAGTCTCGAATCCGAAAACCGTCGAATACAACATTGACTGTCATAGTCATTTTGTTCTCAATAGACGAGCAATCCGTCTCGGATACACATGTTTTATACGCATTTACATCGATTGACATGTATTTTGAATTAAACAGTTGATTCGCATTTAGGAGCTGAACAAACCCCGATGATACTTCACAAGGTAAAAGCTTCTTCCAAGGTGTCAAATTTTCCGTGCAAATATTTTCCGAAGGAAGGTTTGAATATTTCATAGTTGACGAATTCAGTCTTTCGTGGTGCTGAGAGTAAGGTCGCAATACACGGGTCGGAGTCCCGCTGAAGGCTCCACTCATGAAGTTCAATGATGCACAGAAGAACCCGGCAAGTGAGTTAACCGCCAGATCCCATTGGTTGTCGGCGTGCCCTTGACCAAACCAAATCCACAACTCTGCTCCGGTAGGGTTCGCGCCTGTTTTTGGGTAACCAAACTGTTTGTAGCGCCATATACCTATACAAAAGGCATAATTCTAGTTAACAACGAGCAGAGCATTTACCTATAGCTAAGCAATACGTCTCCAAGATATGGGTATTTTCAAATTTTCAGATGAGCAAATTGATCCAGTTAACCTAAACTGCTGGTGAATAACAATTTATTCGCTTGCATGTCGATTACCAAATCTGATTTAAACATTGAGTAACAACTGACTAATTAGAAACAAGAATTGCAGAAGCACACGCTTTTCTGAAGCAAACAGTCATTTACAAGAAAAACAATAAAGAGAAGTGCATGGCATTCAGTTTCCATCTGAAATTGAAAACCTATCTTCAGCTTGAAAAATTCCTTGGTAGTAGAAACAGCGAGCGAAGGGTTAGACATTTGGAGAACAAAGGCGTATTTCATTGCTCGGGGGTTCAAAATTTTTAGGAGTATCCCGCAAGTTTGTATCAATTCAGATTAATGTCATACTAAAACTGCTCCAAAAATTAGCTTGAGCAATGAAATATCTATAAATTGAAGTAATTCAAGGCTGCCAGCTTTTTGCGTTGAAAAAATGTTTTTCGATTGGACCTCGTAAAAACGGCATACTTTTTTCTAGAACTTTGCATATAATTTTTGTGGTATAAAACTTTCGGTGGATCCCTTCAAACCAAGCCGTCGCCGGAATTTGGAGGGGTCGATACTCTAGGAGCCGGGTGGTGGCGTCTGTGAAGATTACGATTTGTGTGGCGGGGCGACAATTAACAATAGAGAAGTGCAGAGTACTAATTGTATTTCATCGAATTATTTTAACAAAAACTATTTCACTGCTTCGATCTTTACATAGAGTTTTAAAAAGTTTACAATAAGAAGATAGCAACTCCGCCTGGTCTGACTTGTTATTAAGACAAAACTGCCGATCGTAAGCCCAGGAAAAGGAGGAGAGTGGACGTGAGGAAGGGCATCCGGTCCATAAAGACTTCGGTCTCAAAATACTCTGTTAAGGGCACCGCTCCAAAAAAGTTATGGAAAGTCATACAAGCAATGACTCTCAGTCCTGTGTGACTCCGAAAAAGGGAGGCGGTGCTACGAACCTCATGGTTTCAACTACTAATATGACCAAAACTAATATGTATAAGATGAAGAAACCCACTCTAGAAAGGAAGTCGATCCGACTACGTTAATAGAAAATTGGCACACTAAGAGAAAAAGCCTTGAGATATGCGAAACTATGTGAAGAGGAAAAAATTCGGGTTTATCCGTCTAAAACTTGTATTAGTGCATACTGAGTTTAATGCTGTCTGTGCGTACGCACCACAAGCTGGTATAGGATTCGGAAAAAGATGATTTTTACAAGACAGTAGAACATTCTTAAGCCATAAAAACGTTGCAATGATGATTACTGTACGTTCCAGAGCAGAGAAAACTCCACCTAGAATCAGGGCGCGAGGCACAATCGGGGTTGATGGTTATTTGCTGTTTGCACATAATCAGTGACTTTGATCATCAATTTCTTCAAAAAAAAAGATTTCATCTGATCAGCTCACAGCGGGGCTCGAACCCCAGACCTGTCGGTCATGATCCTACCGCTCTAACTAACTGCGCAACGTGTGTTGTTTAATCTGGAGCTAACAAATTGTTCAACAAACGACGTGAGAGGAGGATTCGGTACTTGTGGCTGTCTGTGGCAGTTTCCGCAGCAGCCCTACGGGGCTACGGAAACTGCGGGAGTAAATGAACTATTATAATTGTAGAAATTTTTGAAAAAGTAAAATTGTTCAAAGAATAATGAAAAAAAAACTTTTTCTGTTAAAGAGAACAACTTTCCTGATACTTTCCCGTTCCCAGGTAGCTGCCATTTCCAATTGCTAGCACCCAAACAGTTAAATTGTTTTTAAACGAGATTGTAAAAAAATTTCAAATCGATCAAAGCAAAAAAAAGGAAAAAATTAGTTTTTTACCTTAATCGGAGGCTCTATTTGCAACCTGTGGTCTATTTATCAAACTTTTTCCTTTTCCACTATGTTTGCTGCTTATCCACTGATCGCTTGGTACAAAATCCAGAACAACAACATTGACCTGTTCCGACACAGAGGCAAAAAAGGGACAAATGGGAAAAAATAGGAAAAAAATAATTTTCCTCTATTCGTTATCTACCATCCAATTTTTGTACTCACAGCCTTCAGCTTGTAAAATAAGCGATCACAGCGAAGACCGCATGTCTTTATCTTTTTTATTTTAAAAGATATGACATTTTTAGTTTTTATTTATAAATCACATGAAAAAAATCGATAAAAATTTTTCGTCTCCGCAGGGGCTCGAACCAGTCACCCCACGCCTGGCAGTGCTGTGCACATCCTCCAGACCATCAGACCGTTGATTCAATCGAAAATAAAATTTTCATTATTAACTTAATTCCATTTTTCCCAGAAAAAAGTGGGATTTCTCCCATGGAAGTGAATGGAAAAAGAATCGGAAAAATATCGTCTGCTCTAATTCCCAAGCTAGCGACAATGGAAAAAACCCGTGGAAAAAAACCCGAGGAAAAAATAGCGGTACGTTTGCGAGATCGCATTTTTTATCCGTCAAATGCATAACGTTAAACGCTCGCGGCTGCTCGCTATGGGTTGTTGGAACTCGCGCGCTAGCGCGCGCTCGTACGGAGGGGTGGCGGATAACGCCAACCACCCAGATTGACTTCATTCTAACACGATCGTCGCAGAGATTTTGTCAAAAACTCAAAAATAATCCAGAGCGACGAATAAGCTACTCAACTTGTTGTGTGTGATTTCTCTCTTGAACTTCCTATTTACCGCCACAAGTGAAAACCAGTTTAAAGAACAAGAAAATTTAATCGAAAGAGGTAACCAAATCAAGTACTAAGAAGCAAGAAGGTTGATAGTAATCAAATTTATGCGAAATGGGAAAATTTTTAATCAATCCTTCTAGAAGAGGCGAAAAAGGGATGTGGTAAAACAAGCGAAAAACCAGCGAGAAGAAAACATAGTGATGGAACAAAAAATTAGGTGAATAAGTTAAAAACAAAAGATTTTAGTTCAAAATAGGACAGAGGTCTGAAAGAAAAGAGGACCGGGTGATATATTAGACAGAACACGGTTGTGAAACATCTAGTTGCTGAAGCTAAAAACGAACCAATTCAGATATGGTGTCAAGAGCTTTCTAAAATGGGGACCCGACTCAAAATGTTCCGCCTTTCCAATCAAATTAAATATGATCAAAAGGATGTAGTCGGAGAAAATTTCATTAAATGTTAAGGAAAACTCCTGACTTGTGGCCAAGATGTTCTTTTGCAGTGTAAAACTACTTCTCAAGTCTTTTAAATGAGACTGACCCATTGGAAGAAAAATACTATCCAGGAGGTGGAGCTGGAACTGAGAGAAATGAACAATAAGAAAAGCGCTGGACCAATAGGGCTAACTTCGAAGATAAAATTTGCCAGGCAATGTGGACTTCCTTGACTTTTTGAAGTCTTTAAGCAAGTCTGGGACTCTGTTCAAATCCCCTTCGATTGGAGCAAGTGAAGCTGTTACATTTTACAACGAAAAAAACAATTCGTTGAAATATGGATCCTATAGAGGCATCCGATTAATGAAATATGCTTTAAAAATTTTCGAACAAGTGTTAGAAAGCGTCTGAGACATTTGAGCAAAAAAAATCGAATTAAATTTGGCTTCAAGGGTGGTAGATCAACAACCGGTGATGATTTCTTTATTGGACAATTGGAGAAACTAATTTTGGAAAATAAAAACCCCTCCATCACATTTTTGTTGATCTCGAAAAAAAAATCGACCGTATTCCCAAGGAACTGATTCAATGGGCTCTGAGGCAACAGTGAGCTTCCAAAAATCTGGGAAGGAATGATAAAATGTCTGTACACTGAGTCAAAGGCAGATTTCGTCGGCCCCGGGGTGCAGTGAAATTAAAGTAGGCGTGAATCAAGGATCAGAACTTAGCCCATTGTTAAAGTGAAGGAAGAGGCTACTAGAAACTGTCGTTCCCCGCTACCGTAGGATATACTAAATGCAGATGACCTTGAAATATCAGCTGAACCTGAATCTCAGTTTATCGATAAGTTTAAAATTTGGAACAAGTCTTTACAAAAGCGAGGTACGAATGTTAAATTGGATAAGACAAAGCAGTTGATTTCAAACAAAAAGTGCACTGCTCAAAAAATTCTAAAGATTCCATGCGCTTGTTGTTCATTGAGAGTCGGTACCAATTAAAAACGCTGTAAATCTTGTGATCAATGGGTGAGCTGAGGAAAATACCCAAACATAATACTAAATACGTTTGTCCGAGAAGCAATAATCCTTCCAATTATCGCTCCAGTCAGGATGCTACTTTACAGATCAACCAATCCGAAACCCTGAGCACTGTCGAAGATATTTGCTATTCGGGTAACACTATTTCCTGTCAAAGTCACGCAATACATGCATCATCGATCAGAATAGCAGCACTTGAAACGAAATGGCGGCAGATTGCGCCACTGCTGCTGAATAAAGATATTGACTTGATTACAAGGTGACTTACGCACCGCTTTGAAACCTGGTCGCAGACCAAAGCGATATCCAGATCTCTTAGGAGTGCTGATATGAAAACTTTGCATAGGATCACAGAGTCAAATTTAAAGCAGCGTAACCAACGAAACAGTAAATAAAACGACAGGTCTAATTGATCTGGACAAGCTACAAGTGCAGTCACAGCCACGATGTTTTGGCCATGTTCGCAGAAGAGAAAATGGTCATTAGCTAAAAGCAACAGGGCGTGTTCCAGTCCCAGGGAAGATCAGCTGGAAGACCTGAAAACGCCGTATCGATTGTGTTATATGGGTCCTGAATAAATTAAACCTCAAGCGCACAGACTGCCTTGATCGAATTGCATGGAAAAAAGTATTGTTTCATCTGAATGCTGAAATTGATCAAGCCATCCAAACATAGCATTTTCCGAATCAAGCCATACGCACTTTCCGAATGTCCAACCCCGCGACAATGGGAAAACGGACAATACACGCATTAGTAGTAGCAGAAAGGAAGATGGCGTAAAAAATAGAAAAACTCATTAACGTCTAAGAAACATGTCCTAAGAAAACAACTGTTCTAATAAAAAAAAACGCTTTGGCTGCCAGCTACTCCGTTAGATTAACAGTATTTCTTTGATATTTCGTTAGATTAACAGAGAACCGCGCCACGAAAACTTTTCACTTTTACACATTTTGTAGCAAATTAGAACATAGAAAATTAGAAGTAAATTTAATTGCACTTTCGAAACTTGAAACTCAGAAAACTCGGAGAGGTCGACTGGGAGAGAGTCAGATATCTTTGCTAAAACTAGAACAGCTCATCGTGCAAAAAAAAATTGCCGTTAAACTTTTGCGATGAACCAACGATCGTAACTACAAAAGGGCCAGATGCAGATTACCGATGTTCCACAATTCGTTACGAGGCAACTAACGAAACAGAAAAGCGACTTGTGAATGCGAGCGGTTTAACTGTCAAACCTAAATGGGATGCACCCCGGCCAGGGCATCCACGATCTGCATGCAGCGAAAAGAATACTGACTGCTGCTTACGAAAACTATTTTGAAAGAAACTTTGATGCGGACAATATATGTACTTGGAGACTAGCGTGTTTCTGTTCAGAATGCAGAAATACACAGAAACTGAACTTTGACTGAACTAGAGACTGGGAACACGATTCCTAAAACTCTGTTTCCACTTGTAAACTCAGTGGATCGTTATTCCCCATCAACTTTTAGCTGTAAATTTACCATAATAATGATAATAATAAATAACCCGGCGAAGCTGAGCTTCGCACCACTTGCGATACAACTTTGATTAAAATCATACGGAAAAAAAATTGAAAATCAAAAAATCGTTTTTGTCAAAAAAAAAAGCGGTCTCAACCAGTAGTGTCACCTCTACGCCAGATGGTTGATTGAATTTATAATTACCATGTGGTAATAAAACCGAAAATACCTAAACAGAAACCTTCATGCCGAAAAAAAAATTCCTAACTAATAAAAAAAATTGTCCCTTTTGCCCTCAGAGCACACGCACGCACAATTTTTTTCGATCCCCGAACGACGCAATAAGAGGCCACTAGGTCGATATAAATTAGGCCGAAACTTATTAACCCGATAAAATGACAAAAATAAAAAAAAATTGACAAATCGAGTTGGTAAAATTACAATCAGTATTAAAGACAAATTTCGGTTCCGCCGAATTTTTAAAATGCTAAAACACTTCAAGAAATTACAGTGAAAACTGTTTACCGCAAAAACAAAAACGATTCATAGATCTGGCAAATAAGCCGACGAAACAAGCAGACAAATGAAAGGCCGATTTTTTTCGAGCCGGAATATTTACCGTATAAAAAGACAGTTCGTAGTCAGAATCAAACCGGTGACCTTTGGCGTCCCAGGCGTATTCGTTACTTCCGGGCTAAGTCTGCAGCAGATACTACGATATTTGAAACATTAAGAAACAAGGTACCACGAGTCCAGATGACTCCTGTGGACAAAGTTGTTTACGGGAAAAAAAGTCTACCACCCGATTGCAATACCCTTGCTTATCGCAAAGGTAATAATAATATTATCATTGTCGAAAATTGTTGATAACAAAACAAGGATAAAAATAGTTTCAATCCAGTGAGCCCTTTCGACTAATTAAAAAATTCTTATTATAAAGGAAGGCTGTCAATTACTCTTTGGAGCAACATTATAAACTGAATTCAACTAAATTTATCTATACATAATTTATTTTACTGTAAATTTTTAGAAAAAAAAATGTTTTCAATCAAGGACTATTTTTCCAAAAACTATCATATGCCCTATCCAAATTGTTCGGTCAATGTGTATTTTCCGATCTTCGGTCACGTTAGCAGTCAAAACCTATTTCAAAACACTTGTCTACTAGCCTTGAGTCAATGAGAGATGAAATTCGTTCACAAAGTGCTCCTCCATGAAATCATGAACGACTTTAGGAAATCGGTCAAAATGGTTGTGTATATTTCTAATTTTAGGTTCATTCACAAGCTTCTCAAAACTGAAATCAAAGTTAAAAGCAATTTGGTAGTCTCCATTAGGCAACCAATTGAGCTCCAGTTCTTCGGAGTAGCTTTCTTCCGCCTTAACAGAATTTAAATCTGCGAAGAGAAAGAAAAGCAAGATCATTAGAACCTGAAAACATCATCATAACTTGTCAAAACTGATAGATTCTTTTCTAAATACTTTTAAAAAAACGCTTCATTGGCAATCAGAGAAAGACTCAAAAAAATCTGAGATCTTTCGATGAGAGTTAACCTTAGTTTGTCAGAGTAATCTTCCCTAAATTTTAATAAGTAAATTACAAAAGGGGCCCTTCCATTTAGTTCCGGTCAGTGCACAAGCTGGATAGGGCCATACCAGCGTTAAAAAAATGCATATATATTTATAAATGTCAGCAAACTATATCATTATATCAATGAAGTTATATATCAGTATCTGTAACATTCGCCCGGAAGATACATATCGACGGATAACAAAACTAAGTCTTAAGACGACTGGCTAGCGTCTAAACAGAGCTTTGCATGTTTTTCACCGTCTCTACCAAGCCAGTACTTTTCGGTGGTCTTTTCTAACATCGGGTCGACAAAAACGTTACTGTTCTCCGGCTTCGACCAGAACGCTCAAATTAACTGAATTACATGCAAAAATAGTGAGCTCATGGCTGGGTCTCAGTATCCCCAGACCACGAGGTCACTCCTAAAAACAGGGCTACTACTTATTATATTACTATTGTTTTTGTTCAGTAGATAAAAATCATCATCTCCATCGAAGATGGATCAACCCTTTCCCCCCAACTCCTAGCACCTCATCCTTGTCAAAACTAATCCAAATCTCAATTAAATTCAAGTCAGGACATGACAGGATGCTAAAAGTTCACACGAGTCAATAAAAGTTTTCCGTCCCGAGACCCTTCCGGATTCTTGAATCCGGTGAATCAAGCCCGTTGATCTCGATTTCTTCCCAATCCGGAAGGCTGGTTTCTTACCCTTCACCGTTGTTCGCAACGGCCTTGCAACTATTGTAGCAGCACAATAGTTGCAACTCGGAACGTTATCTGCAATCTGCTGCTGTTTTTCAATCACGATTGTCGTTGTTATCGTCAGCTCAACTAATGTTGTTGTGTTTTCTCACTCGTTTTCTGTTAAAATGGCCGTTTCAGCATTTCTCAGAAATGTGACGTCATCATTCGAATTTTTGAAATTTTAAAATACTAGAATATTCCAGCCCTCACCGTTTGGCTAAACGTTCCAATAACGCCCTTAGTTCTTAAAAACCACCAATCCGGAAGGCTTACTGCTAAAATTTGTAACATTCGCCCAAATATCACACAGCGACGGAGCGTAGAAAAAGTACCTATCAACGACTGGCAGGCGTCAGTTACCTTAATTCTACTCGTTTTTCACCGTCTCGACCTTGCCAGTTGATTTTCTGGTCTGTTTAGGGCAAAGTAAAAAGTTACCATTTTTAGGCCATCAGTCAAACGACTTTTGATCAGCTTTCGTTTGCATGCGAACACAACCACATAGCTGAGTCTCGGATCCTCAGACTACGTGATTGTCATTAAAAACACGGCTCGAACAACCTATTTTTATATGTTTTTGTGTGACAGTTTTATATTAAATCCATTGGAGATGGATTGACCCTTTCCTTTTTCTACCTACTCATGTCCTGAAATATCAAATAATATCGGTGTTTAATTAAGATCTAGGACATTACAGCAGCTGTTATAGTTAGTTTACCCAGTCCCTTCACATATAACAGTCTCTGGGGGACCAAGCCTCCGCTCCCGTGATTTTCTTGAGATAACACTCTTATCTCCTATATTTCGTGTCCCGGGAGGGTTCCGTGGTATTTCTCTTCCCCCCACTGAAGCCTCCGTCTCCACAAATATCTGTCGCTAAGGTCCTTATCGTGTGTTCTTGCCACGATAAGAGGCTCCGTAATTTTCCTGTCTCTGATACAACCGTTCTTCACAATTTCTATCGTGGTTCTGATTTTCGTCTTTTTTATTCAAAATGGCCGTCTTTTTTCTATTTCTCAGAAATGTTCTTCTTCCGATCGAAATTTTAAAAATAAAAATTCTAGAACATTCTGACCCTCCGTCGCAACACTTTTCTGTTCATAAGGCCTTTAGTCACTTTTATTTCTGTCGCGGGAAGGTTATGCTGTGTCATCTGGCAGAATGGCACATACTCCCCGGACAAGTCTCCATCAATGTCCCTATTGATCGCACAACACCGGGTTATCGTCAAGTAGGTATCCAGTTTTCTGTAACCAATCTTACAAATCGCATAAGAAAATGAAATTTATCTACTCCACTTCAACTCACTACGTGTTCACAAATGGCATCGTACTACATCTCACTGCCTTTCAACATTTTCACAAAATTTGCACCATGAGGAGTGTCCTAGATAAAATTTCTTTTCTGACTACTTACGTCGTCTTGTTATACAACTTCTTTTCGCTCTTTGTGATTAAAAAGTGGGACGTGGCACGGCCACGCACCCGTTAAAATTAACTTTACTTCACTCACCAAGTATAATCAGTCATTTATGCGGTCCTTTCCATATTAAAACTAAGAAACTCTGTGGCTAGGAAAGTTATTGAGTTACCCACCCTTCTCGAGCGAGTTTACTCAAACTTACCATGTCGCCACACAGTGAATTTGTGTCTTACACAGGTTAAAAACTTCAGTCGGGAATAAATAGGTAAATATACTCACCTATGCTCCTTATATACATACATAGATAGTAGTAACTAAAATCAACAAAATCAACAATTTTAACAATTGCAACATTTTCAAAGTTTGGTCTGACCAAACTAAATCAAAACAAAAAGTTTCACAAGTTCAATAATCAAAACTTGGTTGATTTGTTCAAGTTTTTACACACAAAGACAATCAAGTTCTTTCTCCTTCTCTTCTCTCCTTCGGTCATCTTCATTCCATCATTTCTCCATCCTGATGTTCAGCGTCACTGTCTTCCAGAACTTTCTCTAACATGTCCAGAGAGTTGCGGGCCGTGCCCCAACCCTCCTGTTCCAACAGCCTCGGTTTGCAACAAGGTAGCAAGTCCACATTCACCTTCTGCTCCCGGTTCCTGCAAAAGCTGTTGTGAAGACACAGGCTCACGTTTCGTTCTAGGTCAGCTCTTAAGACCTCTTTCTTCTCATCTTCAGTAACACAAGGCGTTCCAGCTACCCGCTTCACCGCTGTGGTGACCGCGTTTCTGTGCGTCAAGAATGCTCGTTTATAGGCTCCTGGTCCTATATTTAGCTGGAAAGATTGATAGGCTTCCGTATTCCTTGACATGTGACGCTTCGCGCGTTCATACATCCAAGATGTCATCACTGCACGGAACCAAGGCATCAATCTTTGCCTTGACCATATTCTTTCAATGGCTTTAGGTATTCTCAGAACCTTGCAGGTGGTTCTGAAAAGATCCAACTCACGACTCATTTTAACGTTGCTCAACTGTTCAGGAGTCGGCACGGCCGTCTCCTGCTCACTTGTGTCCGCGTTAGCCTCTAACCATCTCACTGCTAGCATGGCGCTAACCACCACGATTGACACTTGTTGATTCTGATCGGGCAACCCCGTGGAGTACAACTCCTCCACGTCCCAGACTAGGATCAGATTCCCGCGTTTAGGGTACCACAACGTCTGCGCCAAGCAGTGGCAAGGATACTCCCCATGGGTTCTCACTATGTTCCTTCGGGTCCGATACCCTGAGGCTCCCAGCAACGGTTCCACTTCCATCAGAATTCTATGTAGGTCGTCTTTCTCTTCTATAGTGGGGAATTCAGTAGGTAACGCTCCACTCGCTTTCTGTTTCTCGAACTCACTCACATTTCCTTCGTTCAGTCTCATGAACTCTTCACCCACAACGTCTTGCAACTCGCCTTCGGATCTCTTCGGGACTGCCCAAAAGATCTTTGCCAACAAGTCATATGACCTCTCTGACATTCTGGCCAACCTCACGCACTTTGGCACAGAGAAAAGTTGGTCAACCAACACTTGTTGCGTCCTCGCATCCATCACCACCATGTGCGTAGGATACTTGCTATTACAATACGGCGCTGAGCTTGAACCCACCATATATTTTGAACCAGTAGGTCTGTGATAGGCTTCACTATCCTTCAGATTCATTTCATTCTCTAGGGCTTCTCGCCAGCCTCCAATCTTTTGTTCTGTCTGTAATGCTCCAGGGAATATTTCCACGCTGAGGGACGTCACTAGCTCAGGGGCACGCTCCAAGCGCTCGAGCGATTCTATCGAACTCGTCATGCTGCAAAATCCCAAGGCTGTGATCAGGTTTACGTCCGTCACCCCATGGCAGTCTGCGACCAACTCCATGGCACTCTTATCTGACATGCTCAATCTTCCGTACAATCGTGCCAGTTGTCGATGCTGCTCGCTTAGCGTAATCAGGCAGTGTCCCAGGTTACAAACATGTCCTTCCATCCCACTGTGTTGAGCCAAGCATGTGCCTTGCTTCAACCAATTACTCGATGTACCTTCCTCGGACAGCTCCGTGGACGGGTTGCTCTTCTTCTTCGTCAATCTCATGGCCAGCAGGTGTTGTATCATGACCAGATCATGTAGACTCGCATCATCATCCCGGTCTAACATGATATCCGCGGTCATGTCCCAGATTAAGCCTGCGTTAGGATGGGGACACCAGGAAGGTTTCATGAGTTCCCACATCACTACTAGACTGGTTTACAAGGGACCGTCCCAAGAACCACAATCAAAACTCACTTGCCCTCTTAGCTCGGGAATCGAGGGCTCGACTACTCGTTCTTCCAAAATAATTCCAAGCTTGGGTTGTTCCACCATCAACATTCCAATTTCCTTAATCCGTTCAACCCAGAAGTTGAGCACTGTGACTTGCTCGTAGTCGAAGTATGCTTCCCTGGCTTCTTCGTTCACGAAGGGATTATACGCCATCCCTGGTATACCAGACACGTATTGGAACGACTTCAGTTTCCCTAGTGTTGCAAACTCTTTTTGTCCTCTGGCCGCTTCAATCAAGTCTCTGCTCACTCTCAATTCTTTGTTGGAGTATCTTCTCACCTCTTCCAACTTGCGATAGCTTTCCATATCATTCGACTTCTTGCTTGGCACGGTCAATGG